TTTAGTCCTTGTGCAATCAACTGCCACAGAGTCTACACTCCCAGCATGTCCTCTGCAGCAGTGAAGGGCTTTCACTTTGTTCTTCTCCACATTCCACTCCCAGAGGAGGATAGTTTGGTCCATAGATGCACTGATTAACAGGCAGGATAAACTATCTGAGGAAGAAAGAAGGCATGTTCACCCTCAACTTTGCTTTCAAAAATATTTATAGGAATTGTTATAGTTGAAGAAATAGTAGATAGAAACCCTATCTACCAGTAATGTGATGTTCACATCATGTTACCCTGCAAGTAAAACTAATACAAGTAAGTCTGGAAAGGTGGTTGACAATGTGCATGTTAAACTACTACGTTCATTACTGTTAATGGAATGTCTTAATGGCACCATTATTTGGTTTACGAAAAACAAAAAACAACTGATAGGGACTGACATAATATCTTGAATTCTGGACATGGTTGTGGGCAACCTGTTCTAGGTGTTGCTGCTTGCATAGGGCAGTTGGACCTCAACCATTCATTCTTCACGATTGAGAAATGCTGACATTTCTCTCCCAATAAATTGAACTATTATATACTGACCTTGCTTCACCCATGCCACATCCTTCACTACTTCTGTATGCCCAGCTATTGTCATGATAGATTTTCCTTCTAAAGACCAGATTCGGGCAGACTGATCATAGCAGCCAGTTAGTATCCTGCAAGACACAGAATTTAACATTGTTATTTTTGAAGCTTTGAAGTTATCTTTGTTTCAATGAAACAAGAAATACAGAAGAATATGAACATAGTATCTGGTTACCTGAAATGGCTTTGTTAAAAAACTGTGCAAAAAAAAAAAAAAAAAAAAAAAGTGCAAAGCTATGAGTGCAGGACAAAGAATAGCAATGGTAGTACTGCACGTTCTGGTTGGTGAGTCTTAAATTACCTTTTAAATGATGTACGAAATGTTATTGTTCATAGTGTGTTAACAGGTGGATCCTGAAGCATTTTCAAACCATATGTTAGTACAGAAACATGGGCTAGTTGACTGGAAAATCAGTTTTAAAATACATTGCTTAAGGACAATGATAGGCTTTAAAGAAAAGCCCTGCACAAAGCTATGCAGTTGTATTTGCTGCTGTACACCCATCCCATTTGAAGTCAAAAGGATTTAAGATTTAAAATAGATACATCTTGCTTCCTTTCAGAGATGGTAAACAGTATTTGTATTACCCATTTCTACTAAGAGTCCTATGTTGAAATATTTGTCTGGTTCTGTGCTGACTTCAACACAATTTCTGAGGTGTTAAAACTATAAAGTGCTTATGAAAGCAAACAGCTGTTGGACTTGATAGGCTAAAAAGGAAAATCAAGTCAAAAGCAGAGCAAGGAGAAAAAAATAACAGTTCAGTAAAGAAACAGAATAGCACTCCATTTAACACCATGGAGTCCAGTGCATACGTCAGGAGTAAGAAAGAAAAATCGTAGAACTGGTTTAGTGTGGTACCATTCTTCAGTGGCCTGAACAGAGCTGATCCAGTCATCGTGGAAGATGCACTCCTCGGGCTGCGGGGCCATGTATTTCTCCACATACTCGATTTCCACCACTTCTTCCTGAGCTCACAAACAAAGTATTTATTTAGTGTGCTTTTATTTTTCTTAATAACAATCATACTTTAATTGCAGTGTGGTGCAAAGGTACAAGTTTTTTGGGCAGAGATCTTGGCATCAACAATTCCGGGTTAGTGGACCTGCAGCTGTCAGGTGAGTGATGTTGCCTTCTCTATAGCTGTAGCAAATTATGGTTAATAGCAAGCTGACAGCAGAAGCTATTATCTTTACTGTTATCGCGTTCCTCTTCTGTATCTACCACTTAAAACTGGTGTCTAAAATATAATTCATAGGGTACAGCTTTCTCGAGGCGATGCTAACTTCCCCCTCTGCCCTCAATTTAACTGCTATTGCAGGGGACTCAACACGCGTGAATGATGAACTTAAAGCACGGTACAGAGACCAGAGCTCGGATAACGGTGTTCCGTTGTCTAGAGCTACTAATCTCACACTCTGTCGTTATTTTGCCGTTCAGACTGAGTTTAAACTTGCGGGGACTTCTGGGTCAGTCAGAAAAGCAGCCTCACCGTGGAGATGTTCTCCATCTCCATGTGCGTGACCAGCGGCACGCGCAGGAACTGGCCCTGGATGAGGAAGTCGAACTCCACATATTTGTGGTCCGCTGAAACAAAGCAGAGAGCGTTCCCTTTGAGGATGGGCGAGGGGCCTCGCGCCGAGTACCGAGCTGCTCCGGGCCGGGCCCCTCCCGCGGCACCTACCGGCGCGCGCCGCCAGCAGCTTGTTGATGAGGTGACTGAGGTCGGCGGTCTCGGAGGCCGCGGGCACGGAGAACGGAACGTCCTCTACGGCGTACCTGCGGGCACACGGCGCAGTTAGCGGTCCCATCCCGTAACCGACCCCCTGACCCGGCCGCGCCGCCTCACCTAGGGTTCTCGGCGCGGAACCTCGCGGTGAGCTGCGCCATGCCGGCACCGTCGCCCCCAGCAGCCCGCGCGCCGTCGCGGAGCCCCTCCCGCCGCCGGGCACCGCGCGTGCGCTGAGGGGCGGCCTCCATGGCGGCGCCGGCGGGAGCCCCGGCGAGGTGGGGCGGGCAGGGCGCGGGGCGGGGGAGAGGCGCGGTGTCCCCGGCGGAGGGCGGTGCCCCGCGCCTCCCTCGCCGTGAGGGGCGGCGGTGAGCGGGGCTGGGGAGGCGAAGGAGGCGAGGCGCGGACGACGGCCGCCGGCCTGCCGCGCCCCGCAGGAGGAGGCGCGGGGCGCCGCCGCGAGCGTCCCGCTTTCGCGCCTCCCGCCGTGCGGGCTGGGGTGTCCGTGAGGTGGGCCTCGTGTGAGGCGGGCGCCGCGTTGCCCCTCCAGCGTTACGGTGCCGTGAGCTGCTCCCGCACCTGCCATGCACACCCGCTATGCGTTCGTTCGCCTGGTTGTAACTCGTCGCTGGGGGCGTCGCCGTGCCCTCACCGACCCGTTACGGCATTACTGTGTGTGACTCGCGCCCTGTGTGGGGGCTGACCTGCTGACCTCAGGGGCAGCTCTGGAGGGAGTGTTTAACTGTGGTAAGCCTTGCGATTTTAAGTCTTTTCTTAAGACCTTTGCGTTATTTTATAATAATAATCGTGGAGCAGCAAGGCCTCCATCCGTACAGCTGAAGTACAGGCTGACGGCAGGACAGGCAGAATTGCTGTTAGCAGTGCTGAAGGCACGGATTTGTACAATCCAGCCTTTTTTTTTTTTTTTTCCTTTTTTTTTTGACATGGTAACACACTGAGGTGTCTGAGGAGATTCCCATATGTCAGTGCAATCCAACATGCTTCTTGTCACTGTGAGTTCATCTCTTTTGTTTTTGTAATGCTTCAGCTTTCTTTCTGAGACTGATATCCACACTGTTGTTTCAGTGTTAAAAGTTAGATGTGGGGCTTCAGGATGCAGCATTTCTCAGGGCCTCACGGCTGGGGCCAGAGCAGCACCCACTGCTGAGAGCACCTGGAGTGCTGTCCTTGGGGCGGATGTGTCTGCAGTCTGCTGCATTATGAGGAGGAAAGGCTTGGAGCAGCTGGGATCTGCCTTTCGTAGAATCATAGAATGTTTGGGTTGGAAGGGGCCCTTGAGATCACCTGGTTCCAACCCTGCGGTTGTAGGCAGGGACAATTCCATTTAGACCAGGTTGCTCGTGGCTCCATGCAGCCTGGCATTGAATGCTTCCACAGCCTCCCTGGGCAGCTTGTTCCAGTGTCTCACTACCCTTACAGTATCAAGCAATCCTGAGCAACCAGCGCATTTGTCTCTGGCACTGATTTGCTGATATTAATGCTGTAGGCTGGACTGCAGTGCATTATGTTGACTATCTTGAAAATCCTGTCTATGAGACTGTCGTTGATGCTCTGGTGATGGAGTTGTGCTTATCTGTGTGTACTATGCTTTGTGGCTGCTTACCCTCTTTGTGGAGTTGGACTGAAGTGGCCGCAGATATTGCTTTATTTGAAGCAGAGCATTCCCTGTGGGGCAGCCAGGGTAAGGGAAGTGGCCCTGTGGGGTTCAAAATGCTGGGCTGGGAGCGGCCTAGGGCTTTCTGGGGAGTCCTGCCACTGTTGCTCAGTTCTGCACTGACTTTAAGCTCCTACATCTCTCCTGGGCTTCCTGGTAAATGTGTGTTGCTGGTGCGTTCTGTTTGAAATTGTCATGTACAACTTTTAGGAATAGATAGCTATGTATTATTTACTCATTTATGACAAATATCCATGTATGGATCTATACACAGGAAACCGTTTTATTTGAGGAATTTGTCAGTGATACTTATCTAGCTGTAAAGCATATTAACTATGTGTATGCTTTTAAGCATGCATGTAAATATATCTCTCTAGGATGAAAAAAAATCATTTTTCTGTTTGGGATTGCACAGAAGTGAGGCTTATGAAGCCTGAATGGTTACACCACAGAGTGCATTCCAGGGTGGTATGCATGCCCTGATTTCCCTGGGTTAGAGCAGTGGTTAGACAAAGCCACCAAACAGAAACAGACTGAGGGCTTCTTTAAAACACAAAGGTACAACTTGAGGCACAAGGTGTTTCTGGGCTGTTTATTCCAGGAAGCCAAAAGACTATCACTGTGTATTTGCTCTATGGCTATCATTTTTCCTTGGGCTTTATTAACCAGCCTGTGAAGTGGAGAACATTGCCTGCTTGGGCTGCTGGTTCATCCTTGTGCAGCTGTCCTGGTGCTCTGGAGAAAGGTTGCAGAGCACTCAGAGCATGCTGTCGTTCTCTTCAGGTTACTTCTAAGAACTGAATCTGCTGCCTCAGCTAAACTGATGTATCTTGACATCTTAGTTGGGGGGAACTGGTTGAGTGATGTGAGTGATAATGAAATCCAGCTCTGACTGCTGTGCTTTTTTTTTTTTTTTAATATATATTTTTTTCTTTTGCTTTCAGTATGCTTTATGTATTTAAATTGAAATATCTCGTAATTGCTTTCAGATCCAAAGCTCCAAAATACTTAGTAAAAGTTAATAACTTTATTTAAAGCTTGGTTTGGAATATCCTCACTTGAAAATTGAATGGAAAATTAAATCTGCTTTAGATTAAAGTATTTATTCTATTAGACATATGAGCAGCTTCACTTCACAGTGTTGTTCATACTAGCAGGATGCTTTATTCATTTTTAGAAGCCAAGATGTGAGTTTACTTTGACTGTGGTCCTTGTATTTTTACAGAGCAAAACACATTTGTGCTTCCAGGGCAGTACAGCTCTTTCCAAAAGGTTTTCTAGCCTTTTACATTCTCTTCAATAAAGCTGTAAATGGTTGAGAAGCCACAGCCAAGGTGGTCTTACTGAAGAAATTGTCTGTATTGTGAAGAATACAAAGCTGTTAACATACTGCTGCTTGTCTTCAATATAAATACTGGAGGGAAAAACTAAGTGCCTTTCTCCGTCCTCCACCCGAACTCTAGGAATTGTCTCCTCTTCACTTTGGCATGTTGTGTATGTACTGGAATATATTACGTGCTGTAGTAAACGTCAGGGCTGGGTGAGTTTGTCTTTTTGTCGAGCTGCTTATAAATATTTGGGACTGGTCACTCTTTAAAGGCTGTACTGTTTGGATCCAAGCCTTAAACTGTGGCTGTGGCAGTTCACTGTCTAATATTCTCTGTTTGCTCGCAGGTTTGCAGCGGGCTTTTCTTTGGGATGAGAGATAGATCTCCCAAGTGCTGGGAGCTCTGTTGTTCTGTCCTTCATCTCTTGGTTCATGCCAACTTTTCTTTCCAGACATCTGCTGTTTTTCCTGCCCAAAGCTGAGAGCTGTGGGCTAACAACAGTAACTGCCTGTCATTTAAATGTTGCTTTTTACTTCTTCAAAACAAACTCAATGTGCTTCAAGATGGCTGCATGACAGATTTGGGTAATTGAAGTCCTGTGTGTTATTATGGAAGGAGGTGACTAATATTTTCATAAAGCAGTGCTGGTGTATCTTTAAATATCAAATATCTCAGGATGTGAGGAGATTAGCGCTTGTGAACTGGATGCAAAGCAGAAGAGTTGTTGTATGCTTATCTGTGTATGCAACAAGTCGGGCAAATTGTCTCACACAAGGCACTAAAGCAGACTCCTGGAGCAACACGCTGATGTTTTTCTGCAGTGAATAATAAAGTGATAAAGAAGCAAGGGTCTTTATCTTGAGGGATTTGTTGTGAGCGGGCAGCAGGGCTGGAAATTGTCAGGCTAGATTTTTAAGACCAAAAAAAGCCTGCAGCAGTATCTTGGTTCAGCCGAAAGTACTGAAATGGTTCTGTAATTTTCCAGGTCATCTTGTAATGGAAGAAAACGGACCGTGATGTTGTTATGGAAAGATCTCATGTTTTGTTTGTAGGCAACCTCAGCAGCACTGGGCAGTCAGAAATTTGCAGTCAGGGTTTCCAGATGAAATACAAAAGTCCTGGTTCTGTAGGGGCTTTTGCATCATCTCTGATTAATTTACAGTTCAATGTCACATCAGTTTATTTATTGTTCACTTTATACATCGTCTGTCTTTCGTAAGAACAGAAATTCCTTCTGTCTTGCTCTTGTGCCATTCAGTTTTGAACTGCTGAATATCTGGATGCTGCATGTCATGATGTAATTGTATTTCCTAACTCCCGTTACTGCGCTGCAGAAATATTTCATTGTGACATTGTGACAGTGGAATTCCTCATTAAAATAATGCTTGGTGTGTCTCGGTGTAGAAGGAGTTCAGATCACTTGAAACTCGGATCAGATTGCTCTTTCACTACGTGTCATGTGTGCGTTTGTATTTTCAGCATGAAAATGGAAAACAGAAATGGGACTTGTGGCTCCTTACATAGAAAGACATAGAGCACCGTCTGAGTACGACGTGTTTCCTGACCGTTCAAACGCTCTTTTTTGTTTTTAAAAGCGGCAATCTCTGCTTGGGATTAAAGTGCATTTTACTCTTTTTCCTCTGAAAGCGTGTGACCTGCATGGCTTCCAGGGATCCATCACTGGGACAGAGCGACTCTCCTGCAGCCTTGCCGATCGCCGTGCGCCTCTTGGGCAGCTCCGCGTCCTCAGCTGCGCCTGCGCGGCCGCCTCCACCTCTATCCACAGAGGAGCTCCACCTGCTCGAGCCCAATGGCCAGGCGCTCTGCGAGCTGCAGCCCCTCGGGGCGTCCAGTGCACACATGGTGAGTGCTGCCCAACAGGGCAGGTGGTGAACAGACAGGTGATGGAGCCCTGTGAAGGACCCCTGAAAAAATGCAGAGCTTTTCTTGTGTCTTGAGCAACAAAGTGAAACTTTTCCATGCTCCGGTTCATGCTTCTGTCACTCTTCCTTAAGTAGGGAGGTCCTACCTCCAGCTGTACTCATTTTATTAAAGAGCAGCATTTGTCATTATTCAGCATTTGTTCTGGTGTGGTGAGATCTCATGCTGCTACCACTGCTGCTCTCTTTATATCTGCTGGATTAGTTTCTTTTGGTTCGTAAGGACTGGGATATTAGCAAGAAGCCAACCCATTCTATCAGTCCCTTTTTTTTGGAGTTGCTTTGCTGGAAAAAGTTGATTTACAGTTCTTAGGTGTCTTGTTACAAAGTAAGTGTTCTTTCAGTTAAGGATTGTGGTTGGCGTGTGTTGCACTGTCATTTAAAGGCACCTCACCCATTTGAACTGTAGTAAATCAGAATTGAGGTTATATTTTCTTCTGTCTGCTTTTGCATAAAATGCTGCTCATAGAGCTCAATTTCTCAGGGGTAAGATTGAAGGCTTTAACACATTATGATTAATTCTACTAGTTTGTGAATGGGATTGCAACGATTCCAACAATGAATGGTCTTTGAGTTCTTTCATTTTCAAATAAATGTGTAATTCTTTGTAGAATCCCCTAAGGTGTTTTGTTTTTTTTTTTTCATCTCCTTTAAAGAGTTAAAGGGTTTTTAGATAAGGTGGAAAACAATTTTAACTAATGAACAATAAATAGGTGGTTTTCTTAATATGTAAATTCAAGTTAACTTATAGACCATAATTCTAGCCAGATTATTTCCTGTTCCAATAATAAACATAACTGATCGACCTGCATCCTGATTACCGCGGCAGCTAGCATCACTCATACTTCTGTGTGATCACCATACAGATGATTGTTGCCAGCCAGTCAGAAAATGGCCAGGTGCTTCACGTCATTCCTTCTGCCCAGCCAGGAATGGCCCAGGTGATAATTCCTCATGGTCACCTTCTGGATGTCACTGGCACTCAGGGTGAGTTGAAGCTGTTGGGACATTAGAACTAAATGTATCCTTTGTGATTCTTCTAATTTCTTTATTTTTTTAATGAATCTCTTGTTTGTATGCTTCCTTTCCTTGCCAAGCTTAGAAGACCAAAATTCATACTTAAATGATCTGTTTTGATTATGAATGCGGCCCGCAGCGTTTTCTGTTGGACAAAGCTCTGTGAAATGAGGGTTATTTTGCTCACTTTAGATGCATCATGGGTAAATTGAGAAGTCAAGGACAAAGCTGTTTGTCTTATTTACCATTAATAACTATATTTGTGCTACATCAGAGAACTATCATCAGCTTCAAGTTTTTATTATCTTCTTGATTCATTTTTGAGTTGAAGAGTTAGTTCAGGGAATACAGAGAAGAGAATTCATGTTCTGGTCTGCACCAGAGACCACATTTGGCAAGGCATCTTTTGTGAAGCCAGAAGTAAAGTATTAGGTAGAAATTCAGTTCCCCATGAAGCGAATGGGTTCTAACTTTTGTTTTATTGCCAAGATTTTGCCCTCAGTGTGTAAAGTGCTGCATCCTAAGTATGTGCTGAGGTGTGCAACTACAAGCACAAATTTTAAGCTCATCTTGAGGAGCACTCATTATCTATCTGTAAGCCAGTCTGGATGGCTAAAGGCTATGTGCTAGTTTGCATTCACAGAATAAAACTGAGAACTTAGTTGTTGTGTTTTGTCAAACTCTGAAAAATACGTTAAACTGTTCTGTATTTTCTGGAAGCAAAAAAAAAAAAAAGAAAGAAAAATCTCAAAAATTGAGCAAATTCTCCAAATCTGGGTACTGCTTGAGCATTCCTGTGGAAGAAGAGATGAAAGATAAGACTAATGTCTTGGGCTTCAAGTTGTCATTCAGCCTTTTTCACTTAAGGCTGGAATATGATTTCAGGATCCTACATTGAATGTGTGCTCCTGTGCTAATGCTTCTCGTTCTTTCCTCCCTCCCTACCTGCAGGGGTGAGACCACTGTTTAGTTAGCATAGTCTTATATGAGTTTATGCTGACAGTGAACCTTCAGGTTCTGAAGAATTGCTGCTACTTTTTATAGGCAATAATTTGTTACGCTTAATAGTATTTTTGCATTCACATTTTTCATCCTATGTGGTGCTCCCTGTGCATAGATCGTTTTTGCAGTGTTTGAATGCAAGTTCTATAACAGTACTACTGATTTTTTTTCTTTTTCAAGGAACTTGCTATGTAAAAGACTTTGTAGTTGTTTGATCTTTGAAATGCCATTAGGATGACTTGTCAAAGATTAAAGGGGAAGGAGAATAGAGTGTAAGAACTTGAGTTTCTCTTACCTGCAGGTAATGGTAATAGATAAAATGGCACAAGCTTCAGAGCAGAGCTTAGGCTCTTGGGAGTGTGTTTAGAAGGAGCCAGAGCTCCAAGCTTTGAGCCTGAGTGATGTCTCTCTGATATACACATTCATGAATCTTCTGACACGTAGTGGAAGTGCTGAGTCATGGCCTGAAACAGTGATTGTGCGCCTCGTAGGAAGGCAGGGCCAATTCGGGGGAGCTCAGGTGCATGCGATGCAATGCAATGCAGTGCACTTGAGTGACCAGAAGGGGTCGAGCCCGGATCGGCTCCTACACAGACCTCATTTAAGGGCTGTCAGGGGGAGGCAGTGGTATCTCGCTGGAGATCCCTGCCTACCTTTGGAAGGTAAGCAGCTTTTTTGCCTTCATTTCCGTCCATGGCTGCTGCTTTTGGGTTTGTCCTCATTTGTTGCAGCCAAAGACTTTGCCACCCTGCTATTATTGCTATAGTTTCCATCACATTATAGCATTACATGACAGAAGCTGTCTAGCGGGCTGATTTCTGTACTGAGTCAGTAACTCACTTCTCTCTCTCGAAATTGGGGAAAGAAGCTTCCATAATTGAAGGGCAAAAATCCCATATTTAAAGAGATGTCTGTTTTATTTCTGCCAATGCCAAAATATCAAATATCTGCTTTCACAATTTTCCTTTACAGTATTGCCTACCTATATGCATGGGCTTCAATACAATGCTGCTTTCTGGCTTACAGATTGCTTCCTGGCTGAAACGTTTCTTGTAATGGTGTGTCAGATTCAGTTACCAGAGAGACCTCACATCTCTCACAGTATCAGAAAATATATGGATTTGCAAAAATGTAAAACAGATTTTAAAGTTCTATTTGTTTGCTTTGTTATGGGGTCATTAGCAGTAACACAAATATCAAAGTCTGTAAGTACAAACAGCCCTATCAAGTAAGTTTTCCTTGAGCTGCATCTCTCCATAGTTTTTCTTTTGGACATGCTCTTATTTCATCATTCAAGTTTTGCGTGTTGGAGAAATAAACATTTTATTGTAGTTTGTGATTGCTCTCACTCTATCTTCACATGTTAACCAGGGGGATGATTTTTTTTTTATAAAGATGCTTCAGAAGAGAAGTGTGATGATGGGAACTTGCAGACTGTGGCAGTGGCTGCTATAGCAGACAGTGCAAGCAGTTACATTCTCCATCCACAAGCATCTCTCACCATATCAAAAAAATCAGCAACCAGGTAGGTCAGGAGTTGAAGAGATTAAGAATCATTTTGACCTCCTGCTAATACTGCTGAGTTTTCATATACCTATATACTTTTATATATCAATTAACAAAACTTCTTAAGTTAAAATAGTTCACTTATTGTTTAATTCTCTTTGAAATCTAGTTTTGTACCCTTGCTAAATGTTGCCTAGTATTTTAATTGTGAATACTGTGGGATTTTTGGTGCCCCCCCCCGAAAAAAGAAATTCCTTGTTTTATGAACTGCAGGTCTGCTTTGTATTGGTTTATACTTCTTTGAAATGGAGAAGTAGAAGAGATTAGAATAATCCTGGCACTATATCACAAATTATATATATTCAAGCAACATTTAAAATGAAGTGAAATGCTCTGTGCATGGATGTCACAAACATAGTTTGTGTTACAAAAATGATCCTGGAGAGGAGACACTTTTTGTGCAGACAGGAGGTAATGCATTTGGGTTTTGGAATGATTGATGTCTTAAGCTGCTTCAAGCATGCATTGTTTCCATTCCAGAATTTAGGGAGTAAAGAAAGTAGATACTGACTTCAAATAGTTATTGCAGCTGTTGGGTTTTTTGTTTGTTTGTTTTTGAGACTTAAGGTATACAACATGCAGTATTTAACATGTATTGAATATCTGTTTAATCATTGTAATTCTATCACTGGTCTGCGTAAGAAAGTTTTCAAGGTACTCAGCCCAGTGTATTTCACAATACTGAATGATAATAACAGCCAAAATATTGTGAGGATACTGAATGTTTAGAGACTTGTTGAACGAAGAAGACAGCTATTTAATTACTTAAATTAAAAAAAAAAGTGAATTATTTTAATAGTGAAATAGAATATGGAGAAAATGAATCCCAGGTTCTCAAGACAAGTTGATGTAATATATATATAGTTTGGTCATATGCTGTAAGAAGTTATGTAATGCACTGATTTGATGTGATAGCAGTAGTTTAGACTAAAAAATTACTTTCTTGAGTGTGTAAGTACTGTTACTGCATTTTTATTTTTTGTTTTCCAGAATATTAGAAGACTCCTTTCCCATCCCTCTCCAGCCCTTGCCAACAAATGCACCTGCATGGGCGCGTCGTCTCTGGAACTGTGAGGTGAGCTGCAAGGAATTCTGACTCAATGTCTTTTGCATCAACATCCTATTTCATGACAGAAGTAATGTTTATGGTTATAGAAATGGCATTCAAGCTTTTGGGTGTTACGAGATTGGACCAGCACTAGTGCTACTAGTAGTGCATTTCATGTGTGAAATGTTATGGAATTCCTTTCTTTTTGGGAATGTCCGACTGTCAACAGCTCCTGAAGCCTAAATTGTGCTTCTGAAATCTCTTATGGCCATACAGTGCTGAGAAAAGCCACTGATTCCTTTTTGCATTTACAATGTTATCAAGTTCATTCATGATGCAGAAAAAAAACTGTTGCCTTCTGCTGAGCAGACTGCTTTTCATTAAACTTTGTGAACTTTATATTTGGGAAAGGTTTATACCTCTTTTTCCAATTACACATCAAGAAACCATAAAATGGTCTTTTTCTCCTGTGAATTGTATGGATAATTCACCACACTAAATGGAGAATTTGCAAATGTGGTGAAACTGAAACTGTCTTTATTGCCTGTCATGGCATTTGACTTAAACAGAGCTCTCTATTTGCACATTGTTAGATATACAGAAATGTCTCTATATGGATGGCTGGGATGATGTTAACAGCTAGAATGCATCATAAACTGTTTAAAAGGAAAGACAGGATGGGAAAGTTCTTAAGATCACCTGCCTCAGCTTCCTGTTACTATACTCTTCCTGATGAATATTTATTTTACTTTCTCTTAATACTTTTTTGAAGGAAAAATCATGCCATCTTATTCACTTCTTCAGATTAAAGTTTTTTCCTGTTTTGGCTACTGTAGAAATTGCAGCTATGAGGGATTTAGAAATGCAGCTTTATCCATTTAAAATGATTTTTAACTGAATGTGTAAATATTCCTCCTTTTGTTCTGTCTTTTATTTCACACAAATTATATTGTCCCGTATGTCTGCTTAGACATTCAGAGATCAGAAAATTAGTACTTTTAGTCCTTCCATGGTGGAGATGCTGTTCTCATGAGTAAAGGAGCCACTTCAGGTGGCTGGTTAGTTGTTGAACTCCAGTAAGATGTATAGTTGCTGTTACTCCAATGTGTATTTCCCTGTTTTGACAGACTTGTAGCTTATTTAAGTCATTTATTGCTGGCTTCATTATGGGAGGACTTGTATTACAGTCTGCTGTATCTATCTGAGTCTTATAAGAAACTTCATCCGTTGTGCTTAAAGTTCACAGCAGCCACAGTAGTGTAAGAGTTCTTACTTTAAAGAAAAAGGCAAAGTAGTGTCTGTTTGAATGTCTGCTTGTCTGTTCTGAGGATGTAGGCATCTGTTTCTGCTGAAATATTGGCTGTATGCATTAATCCTCTCTGTTCCCTTAAAAAAGTAAGAAAATAGCTTATCACTTTTCTCCCAGCAGAATTCAGGCCGTGGAGGAGTAATCCAAATTCTCTTCCTCCTTATGCGTGCCCAGCAGAGCTGCTTTGCTGAGTTCCAGTCAGTTACACAGTCCTTGTAAATCCAGTGAGAACTGCTCAGATGTACATGTGTTTTTATGGGCACAGAGACAGTGGAGTTTTGAGGTGCTGTTTATGTTTGCTGTGGTGTCTTGCAGAACGTGTTATTATGAGTAATGGGATAGAAGTATACAAGTAACAGGGTAGAGAGGTCCAAGTACAATCTGGGGATCTGGTGGAGAGAATGCTGTACCTTTAGTCCAGTCATTCTTGGTGCAGAGCAATGTGTTAACTCACAGTTGCACTTTCTCAATCATTTTTCAGGATAGAAACAACCTTAAAGTGGAGATCTGTGTGAATTTTACAGAAGAACTCAGCAGGTGGGGCCATGTCATGGCCCAGTTACATATTGCCCGTAGTACATCCCAGGGTGTTGCCAGGACAGGGCTCTGAAGCACAGCCAGTGTCGCAGGTGAAGGTGAGCACAGAACAGTAAAAGCTGCAACTGTCCAAAACTGGCACTATGTTCTGTGCTTCAGGCTGGTTTCCTGGCTGCTTTGCAATGCTCAGTTTACACTTGCAGTGCCTAGGCAGTGTAATGCTTCTGGCATCCTGCTGCTGCTACTTCAGTTGAGAGAAACTGCAGTCTTAATGCACGTACTTCAGTGTACGTACTCTTGCTGAGTTTGAAGTCAGGGAAGAGAAAAGGAATTACTTTTTTTTTTTTTTTTTTTTTTTTTTTTTACTTGGGCCCTGGGTGGGGTTAAAGGGCTGAAGAGAGGTAATTACTTTGTTAACAAAAAGGAGATTAAAAAAAAAAAGGTTATAGAAAAAAAATGTCATTAAAGTTTTCAGTGGTCTGCTCAGAATGCATTTTCAGCATGCATCAGCATACTGAAATAAGGTATAATTAAAAGTACATTAATTAATCGATGATGCAAAGCTAAATTTATTTCTTTGGAACAGATGGTCTCATGTATCCATTAGTTGCTGCTTGGGAAGCTCCTAGGGAGTGGGGAGCCTATGTGCTATGTGATTTTCTTTCTCTGCCATGCATGTTTTGGGAAGATGTTCTATTTTGTGCAGAAGTAAAGCTAGAACAGGAGACGGGGCCCTAACTTGTAATTTCTGCATGAGTTCTATACGTTTTCTCTCATCTCTCAAGAATCAAGTTAAAGACCTGTTTAGAGTGACCAGATAAGGAAGGTATGGAAAGCTACTTATGCAATATTTGCACTTCCTCCTGTGAAAGGGGATAATCCTAGGTCTCTGTAAAGATGTTTCTGTATCTTTCAGATTATTTCTGTCCACTTATGTTGCATATAATCTCTGACTAAGCAATTACTAGCATTTCTTCCTTTCTGCAGCTGTGTGAATGCAGCATATGCGGATTGTTTTATGTACCAGAATGGTGTGCATGCAGCACAGTGAGCTGCTGCTACGTGAGCAGCTGGTACCTCAGACCAACTCTTGCCACTGATGTGTGCATACCCTTATCCTACTGTGCTTGTGCCAGCAGCAGTGCTGTGCTGCCCCACTTCATTTGGAAGGGGTTTGTTTGCTCTTTGTTGACTCAGTATCTTGTTAACCACAGACACTTTTTTGTCAAGAGGTATTATTATGCAGTTGTCACCGATATTTTTTTTTTTTTTTTTGAGATAATAATATTAGACATCTGCTGTTGCTTTTGTTGTATGTATGGAAACACCTGTCTGCTGCATTTTTGAAAGTGGCAAAAGGGATCCATCAGGTGCTAGTATTCATTCACCATGTATCTGCCCCACAGTTATGCTGTAAGCTGGCAGACTGCTCTGGGTGTTATTGTCAGCTGCTTGCTGTCCTGATCCCGTGCTACAGGAATCAAAGTGAGAATTATGTTCTGGGTTCACATGGAGGCTCACTGCTGCCCCAGTGCTGTCAGTGCTTGCTGGGTGGCCCTGGTGTGCCAGCACTGAACCAAATGAGATGGGTGGCTCTGAGTGGCTGAACAGCTGTTAGAAGAGGTGCTACAAAGTCAATACATTGTTTTGTCACTGTTTTTGTTGTCCTTATATGGAGCTAAATCTAGATGCAGTTTTTCTGGAGTTGCCACTGCTTAGAAGAGGTCACTGCAACCGTAGCTGTTATCCAGTGGCAAGTCTTGCATCTTGTGTTTCTATACGACTTTGAGAATTGAGAGTGCCTTGAAGCTTTAGAAGGGGGTTATATGAGATGTTCAATTCAGAGATAATGCTCTGGGTGGGTGAGGCAGTTGCTGGTGTTACAAACAGGTGTATTCTGCTCCAACTCAGCTCTGTGTGTCCTCTGAAGCAGATACATTTTAGCAGATACATTTCCATTACAATTTTTAGCACTTTAGAGATCCTCTGTGGCATCATATGAAAATATTCACTTAAGTTGAATTTGTGGAGGAGGTGACTGCAGGTAGAAGTTGTCCTCTGTAAATTAGTGTTGTCAGTAACTCTAGTCTTTCCTGGGGTTTTTGTGTGCTTAGGATCTGATGCCAGTGGAGACTGCTCTGATGCTAGATGCAATGGTAACTGTGCTTGTGAGAGTACTAGTGTGGGGGAGAATGTACAAAACACCAAAAACCTGAGCCTGTGTCCTCACATGCAGAGTCCCTGACCGCCTTTGCTTTCTTGGGTAATGCAGAGCAGTCAGCTGGGTGAATAACCCTATTATTTCACCTCCTTTCCATGCAGAAAATTGGGGACTCATACCGCGGCTATTGTGTGAGCGAGACAGAATTAGAGAGTGTTCTAACGCTACACAAGCAGCAAACACAAAGTGTGTGGGGGACACGCCAGTCTCCAAGCCCGGCCAAACCCGCCACACGGTTGATGTGGAAATCCCAGTATGTCCCATATGATGGGATCCCCTTTGTCAATGCAGGTAACTAACTTCTTTTGTTTTAATAACTACTTTGAAAAATCTCAACATCAGTTGCCAACTGGCCACGAAGAAGGATCCTTGTGTTGTTCCTTAGTGTCAGTAAGCTCAAGGCTTAACAAAACAGAAACCAACCAACCAACAAAAAAGTAGCTTGGAATCTCTATCCACAGTGTGAAGGAGCTTGTTTTCCTTGAAACCACAAGCTTTGTTGTGAGTGTTTCTTTCTCCTTGTTGTTTAGAAATAAATAAGTACCATTTGATGGTGGTTCTTGTGAATGAGCTCTTTAGATGGAAGTTCCATCTGCTCTGCCAAGACTTGGAGTTTCTCATAAGGGTGAGAGCTTGTTCCAGTATTCTTGCCTAACTTGGAGATCCTTGGAAGAGTCTGTTCCAATGGGATCCAACATGGTATTTAAACACCTCCCTTTAAAACAGAAATAAAAAATAAGTTAAAAAAGAGCATCAATATTCGTCAGCAGACAATTTTTTTTTAATGAATGTACAGGCTTTACAGGTTGGTAAATACATACTTAACTCACGCAATGCATATGTGAAATTAAGTTCATTCAAATCAAATTTAATGTGCTTTAATTGTCACATATGAATGAGTGGAGCATAGGTTATATGCTTTCTTTTTTTTTGCTGAAAGTAACTGAGGAGGTGAAACATTTGCCCCAACTTTATAGCTTCAGCCAAAAATTGTGAGGTATAAGAAAGCTGAGAACGAAGCCAAAACAATTTGTACTTTTATCAGCACCCTCTCTAAATGCATTTGAAACATCTTCAATTTTCTGTAAGATCTGCTTAATAAATGCATAAATATCTCATCCCATGGTGGGATATTTAGAACAAAAGCACGCAGGCTATTTCTTCCTTTACATGCTGCAGACTAGTAGAGACTGATTTTTAAGTTGTAACATTTTTAACTTTGTTTAGAACCCTGTACAAGCACTATGTATACATCTAATGTGTTGTTTTTCCAATGCATTTAGGTATGAAATGTAAACCCACTATGAAGAATGTTCATTAAAAACCTTTCAGTTCTGTAAAGCAGAGGCTGGAAATATGGTTTACTGAGCTGCTATTAAATCCCAGATAACTGAATTCTAAATGGTGCAGGAGAAAAGTCTTGCTCTCAAGGAATTTACTCATTTCTGCCTAAGTGAAACTGGTCTGTAATGCCTTTCCCACTGTGCTTCTGCTTCTGTTGTGGGGAAATGAAGTAGAAGAGGAAAGGCTAGATCGTTCCCTATGTATTATAAAACAATATATAAATAAATAATCAAGATCTTGATTTTTAGATGTCTTACAAATTGTAGATAGCCGATACCTTTGTAAAAGAAGATTCAGTAGCTTTTGAGATGCATACTAGTAAGATTTAGTTTAAAGGTCTTGAAGTCTTTTCAATCTTAGGAAATTATTGTTCTTTTTTTTTTTTTTTTTTTTTTTAAGGCAGAATATCTGTTTATTATACATTATATATAATATATATTATACATCTGTTTATTATGTCTCTTAAATTTCCCTTCTCTTCATATGCATTGATGTGTATATGTTTTTTAATAAGATCACACTCTCAGGCAGTAAATCATTCAGTGTCCAGTGGAAACACCTCATGTTGCTGTAGTGATACCTTACAAAGGTTTTGGTCATATCATTTGCTGTATAGGCAGCTCCCTGCCTATGTACTGGAACATGTAAATTTTATGTAACAGATAATGTGATATGGGAGAGGGGCAAGTTCTATACTTGACCATGCACACCTTGTTATGCTTATTAACACTTCTGTAAGTGGCATGATTGGAATAAGCCATGTATTGGAATGAGGTTAGAGTGAAGCCATCTTTGTTTAAGCCTGTCTGTGTTCATGGGAGTATGCCATACTGAGGCAGAGTTATTTAACTGATAAGGTAGGTCAGATTTGCAAGTAAGAATATTTGGGGCTGCATGGTCTGATGTACTGATTAAAGACCTTTGCTTTTAGCTGTGAGGTTTTCTTGGTTACTTTGGAGATTCTGTCTCTTATTTGTGTTTATTATGAATGCTCTTCTCCTTTGGTAACTAGTAAGGGTTCTCATATTGTAAAATACTTGATCAAGTCGGAACCTAATCTTTTGCCCCTATGTATCTTCCGGAGCATTGTGAGGTGTAATCACTTTAGGAAATGCTTTCAAAGTGCTCCACATTCCTCATGTGCTGTGAAAGAAGCATTTGCAGTGTATTTGAACGCTTGCTACGTTTGAGCATTCTGTTGTCTGAATAGTCTGATGTTAAACAGAAGTAACTTTTTCAGAGTTTCTGTCTTTTCTATATTTAATATTTTACTATAATGACTTCTGTGGTTGCTTGAATAGAGTGAATTATTTTCTGTTCCCAGGAAGCAGAGCCATTGTAATGGAGTGCCAGTATGGGCCGAGGAGAAAAGGGTTCCAGTCTAAAAAAGCTGGTGAGCAGGAAAGCACTTCTGGCTATCTATACAAAGCCACTTGTCCAGCAAGGTAAGGATTGGCTGTAAAGTTACCATCCTAAGAAAGCATGCTTCTTGTGAGCCTTGACAGCATGCAGTTCGGAGGTAGTAGCTGATATCATGCAGTGTGGTTTCTAGCTTGGTGCCCTTGATAGTTTGAGGGAAGGAGGAAATACTGTGTGGGGCTGAGACTTGACAGGTTGCTGACATGCAAGGTACCAATACATCACTACATGAACTACAAGTGGGAATCACTGGAAAATAATGAGGACATCGTATGGTGGCGTCCTTTAGTGAGCATATTTGATCCTAAGACAATGCTGTCTTGTTTTTCCTTCAAGCTTTTAACTGCAATTGTATCAGTAGATCGTCTGAATTTAGCAGATCTTCTATTTACAGAAGTTACAGTTCTTCCTGTTCACTGGGACTTCCTTCTTACTCAACTCCAGTGTTTTCTACTCTTTTTGTATCCTTGAACACTCTCTTGGGTTTCAGTGCCACACTTACTCCCTCTTTACAGACCTAATGGTGTGTTTATCTGGATGGGTGCAGTTAGATATGTGTATGTTCAGCTCACATTTTGGGCATGGAGGCAACTCCAACGTGTCCAGAAATGGCATTGTGCTTTTACTCTACTGAGGGAAAGCAAATTTTTGCTGAGGTGCATAACTCTGGCCAAGTGACTTCCATACTGGATCAGGCATATGTGTATGTGTACTCACCTGCATCTCTTTTGCTGTTAAAAGATCTGCAGTTCTCTTAGAAGGTCCTCACTCCTTGAAACACTGCTTGATTTTATTTTTATTTTTATTTTTATTTTTATTTTTATTTTTATTTTTATTTTTGCTGTGATAGTATGTGATATGAAGTAAGTGGGAATTTTGCCTTCTCACTGAAGGAGATTCTTTCTTCTGTTTCCTCTTACTCTCCCTATGGAAGGATCTATATTAAAAAAGTTCAAAAGTTTCCGGAGTACAGAGTTCCTACTGACCCTAAAATTGACAAGAAAATCATAAGAATGGAGCAGGAAAAAGCATTCAACATGCTGAAAAAGAACTTGATAGAGGCTGGTGGTATTGTCAGGTGAATTTTGCACTTTTTTTTCTTTATATTGAGAAATGATACAAAAAGAGCAATAATTTGCTTGGTTTTCTTTATGTCCTTGATTGCTTTATCAAGTCTTATTGACATTGTGGGATTTTTTGTTAATAAGACTCATGGCTCTGGATTATTTTATTTAGTAAATGTATTTAAATGCTGAGCTGTGGAACTTATGTTTCCATGCAGGGAATAGAAAAAATATTTTTACTACTTGGGGGTTTAACCTGGGTTATCTTGAAACACAGGGTGTGAGAGGACCCTAAGCTCAGAAGAGCTGTATCTTTCAGCTCAGGAGGTCACTCTGTTTCATTTGTAATTGTCAGGCTTTTTCCTCAAACAATTTATTTTGCTGCCTTTGCTTGAGAATTATACTTTCCTCCTTGCTAGGTGGTATGTGCAGTTACCCACTCAGCAAGCCCACCAGTATCATGAAATGGAAACTTCCTGCCTTCCTTCTTCACCCTCCCATTTTTCTGCTGCTTTTCCTGAGGAGGAGGAGGACATTGGTAGAGATGAGAATTGCACTCTGCCTTCCCGCCTTCATCCCCAAGTGGCAGACAAGATCCGAGAGCTGGTGTCTCAAGGAATAGAGCAAGTCTATGCAGTGAGGAAGCAACTGAGGTACGGAGCTGTCTGTCAGTGCTCTTAGTCTGTACTATGTGTGGTTTTGAATTTGATTAATTTGATTTGTAAGTAAATGGCATTACTGATGCATAACTGTATGTATTTCCAACCTGTTATTAGAATCTCTTTCTTTTTTAGGGATTTTGTCTTCTCTTTCCATTTTATTGTAGACTACTGTTAAGAGCTGCTGTCTTCTTTAAAGTTTGTTGAGCAGATGGGTATTTTTAAATTCCAACTCCAGAGCAGATGCACAGAGAACTGGATCCAAATATCTTTTAACTTGCTCTTATATTGTCATTGCAAGCTGGAGAGGGAGATGATAGCAGCAACTGTAACAAGTAATATTTCTATGAAGGCTTCATTATAGAATCATAGAATCACAAGGTTGGAAACGACCTATAAGATCATCCAGTCCCACCGTCTCCTCATCACCATTGCCACCACCAGCACTACACCATATCACACAGCACGTCGTCCAGACACCTCTTGAACACTGCCAGGGACGGCGACTCCACCACCTCCCTGGGCAGCCATTCCAGCGCCTGACCACTCTCTGAGAGAAAAAGTTCTTCCTTAAGTCTAATCTAAACCTCCTCTGATACAACTTGTGGCCATTTCCCTGTGCCCTGCTCGTTGCCTGGGAGAAGAGGCCAAATCCCTCCCTTCAGGAGGTTGTACAGTGCAATGAGGTCTCCCATGAGCCTCCTCTTCTCCAGACTGAATAATCCCAGCTCCCTCAGCCGCTCCTTATAAGACTTGTGCTCCAGACCCCAAGTAAATAGCGCAATAGATCTAAAATATGCGTATTTTCACTTTAATATTTTTGTCCTTTAATGTGACAGAAAGTATGTGGAAAGAGAATTATTCAAACCTGATGAGGTGCCAGAGAGACATAACCTATCCTTCTTTCCCACTGTGAATGACATCAAGAACCACATTCATGAAGTGCAGAAGTCCCTGAGAAATGGTGATGTGGTATATAATTCAGAAAGCATTCCAGCGACGGTATGTTGGCCCTGGTGTTTCTTTTCAATTTTTGGAGTTTAATACTTTAAGTTTAATACTTAATTTACTTTTATTACTTAATTTAAGAGTTTAATACTGTAAGTCTTCTAACTTTTAGTTGCATTTCAGAATTCTCTGACATCCTGTTTCCAGTACCAGTATTTTCAGTGGAATCTCTTGCTGATCAAAACTGATTAAAAGTGAATAAAGCCTTTTGACCATATTGAGTATTTATCTCATCAGCATTAGATGGCTATTAGTTGAGTGCAGTGCTCACATGATGACTACGTGAAACTAGAAGGCATGCATCAGAGAGCTGTTAATGGCTTTATCTGGTTGCTGTAAAAGTTACTTCTACTTTTCCACATCTGAAAAGTCAGAATGAAGTCTGCCTCAGGTGCAGCCTAAATTAGCACTTATACAATTTGTGAGTGTACTTTCTAGCAAGCGAAGTAAGTCTGAAGTAGATACTTCAGAGTGTTGAGTAACTCTTACATGCTGTTCCTTAAATTTCTTCCACCTATTGAGTGCGAAGAAATGTACAGTGATCCTAGTTTTTCCAGTCATTAGGTTTAAAATCAGCTTTGACAAATTATAGTACTAAGTAGTGCTGTGTCTTTGGGGTTTTTCCACTCTCCCTAAACTACGCTGGGCTAAGGTGAGTGGGTGATATTTGTTGGCCAAATTGTGGTTTGGCAGTTTGTTTGTTGTGTTTTTTTGTTCTGTTCAAAGTCTTCCAGTTTTCATAAGATGACTGTAGCCTTCTTGGTATAGTGTGTGTTTAAAAATAGTTTGCAGTATCTTTTATTTTAAACCAAGAACTTCCAACCAAGAAGTTGGAAACCAAGAAAAGTTAGTAGCAGTTATTTAAAAAAAAAAAGAAAAAGGCATAGTTTCATATACTATTTTCTTGCATGTTCTGAATTGAGCCTGTGTTTCTGCAATAGAAAAACTTTAACTCTTTCTGAGAACTGTGATCTTCTTTCAGCTACAGTGGACCACAGATGGTGGGAATGTTCTCACAGAGACAGTGACTGTTACGTTTGCCTCACCACCTTCCAATGGTAGGACTGTATTAATAACTTACCTCCAGAAATTCACTTTCTGTTCAGAGACGTCTCTGTTGTGTTTTTGTCACTCAGTTAAACTAACAAGATTTACTTCAGAACTGTTTCTGGTTTGAGGCAGGAAAGGGCATGTTGTGTTGGTTTTTTTGGTACTGACCAAACATACAGGAAAAAAATGTGTAATCTTAATGTAGTTGACAGAATTATAAAAGCTGTAAATTTGTCTTCTACTTTGTATCCTTAAGCAACTGAAGTTTTTTGTGGGATGATTGTTTATGAAGAGCAGTTTGCCTTGGATGAAGGTGCTGGTAACACCTGTTATTAGAGCAAATGAGATTCATATCAATCAGGGCACACAGCTGGGACCAACTGGGTGCTTGAGTTCCTTAGTGGTCTGTGCTTGGCACATGCTGACAGTACCTTGCTAAAGGGGACTCGTGCATGTTGGGATTCCTGCTTCTCAGGAATTCATTGTTAATGACTATAGTAATGTGTGAAGCCAAAATAGCATCTCTTTCAAACAATTGTTCAGCCAGGTAACAAGACCCCAGTACAAGAAAGACAGGGAACTGTTGGAGAGGGTCCAGAGGAGAGCCACAAAGATGATCAGGGGACTGGAGCACCTCCCCTACAAAGATAGGGTGAGGGATCCGGGCTTGTTCAGCCTGGAGGAAAGAAGGCTGTGGGGCGACCTTATTGCAGCCTTTCAGTACCTAAAGGGGGAGCCTACAGACAGGGAGGGAATCAACTCTTTGAAAGGGTTGATAACTGCAGGACAAGGGGAAATGGTTTTAAGTTGAGGGAGGGAAGATTTAGGTTGGATGTCAGGGGGAAGTTCTTTACAGAGAGAGTGGTGAGGTGCTGGAACAGGCTGCCCAGAGAGGCTGTGGATGCCCTGTCCCTGGAGGTGTTCAAGGCCAGATTGGATGGGGCCCTGGTCTGCTGGTCTAGTATTGAATGGGAAGGTTGGTGGCCCTGCATGTGGCAGGGGGGTTGGAGATTCATGATCCTCGAGGTCCCTTCCAACCCTGGCCTTTCTGTGATTCTGTGACTTCCTCTCATTTCACTGCAAAAGCTGTGTGGATTTATATAGAAATTTATTTTATCTATGTATTTTAGGTTTATTTTAGGTACGCTATGCTTCCTTTGTAGCAAGTGCTACTCCAACTTCAAAACATTTAGTAAAACAAATAAGGGTGTTTGTAAATAAATCTAAATGCCACCCATGTAGTTAGGATTGCACATAGGTTGAAGTGCTCCATTGGATCATGGAGTCTGATAGTAAATTTAAAATGACATTATTCTCTCCATTTTACCTAGATTTGAAGTATATTTCTGTTTCAAGGATATTTTGCCCAGTGTGGCATGAAAGAACTTCCCTGGATGTTTGTGGATGCTTTTCCCATCTGTTGTTTAACAAAGATATGTTAAGAAACTCATTAGAGAATTTGATGGCTTTAGCAGGAATGTGACTGCAGCAAGGTGGATGAACCTAATTATCTCCACACATTCCATTAAGAAACTTGCAGCATTATCTTAATGTTGTTAATCTCAGTAGCACTGCTGGCTCGTTTTCTCATTTATCTGGAATGTGGTGTTTATTTTTCCAGACAGCTGGTAGAGAGTTCTATGGGAATCAAAGGTGCACTGCCACAGTTGTCATAATTAAAGATCTGTCTAAGTCAGAACTTAACCTCCTCTGCGGTTTCTTGCCTGAAGAAATGTAGATATGTTTGGACTTCTTTCCTCTTTGGCCCTCTTCACTTCCTGATCTATATTTTTTTTAAACCCCCTCAAAGTCTAGCTCACTGGGCAATTTCTCTCTTGAGCAATATTGTGTACACCAGTGCATTAGTAATTAGTAATAAAGCTAAAGTTGGGCTTCTGTTTTGTTTCTGAACTCTTTTTATAGTCTTTGTTACAAAAATTGAACAGAGAAGTGTTCTGTACACTTATACTCTTAAGGCAAGAAATTCAGCGTTGACAACTATCAGAGTATGAAAGGTAAATTTTTAGGCTCAATTTGAATGTTTTGTTTTGTTTTTTAAGGAAGTCTTGTTTTTTAGAAAAGGAGTTTGCAATTTGCAATATAAACAGATTTAATGTGTTTAAGCTTGCACTCCTGTGCTAATATTTCCATTAGTGTGCTTTTATGGAGAGAAACAAAATGGTGGTTCCAACAGCTGAACAGGGCAAATTTGGTACAAACTATCTGAATGCTGATGAAAGTTCAGGAAGATCAGTTCTTGTCATCTTTCACAGATATCTGATAGACTAACTTGCCTTGAAAAATGATGTAAACATCCATTCAGACAGGTTCTGACTTTAGAGGAGGTTACAGTGTTGGATGTGTTTGGCTTTCTGCACGTGTGCACCAATTCAGTGAATGTAAGCAGACAATCTAACTCCAACATATCTTGTCTCCAATTAAATTTATGTGAGGATGAGTCCACACACACTGCAAACACAATTATAATAAATGTCTACGTGAAAAAAAGAAGCCCACTTTGAAGAAATCAGTACTTGCTCAAGAATATTAAAATGTAGCAAGGGAAAACAGTACGGACTTCTCAAACTGCTGTTTGTGTATGTATTGTTCTTTATTTCAACTTGTGTAAATTTGTTCATGTACAGCACCGAAGAAACCAGCAGTAACAGAATTAAACTCCAGACGTTTCATTTTCTGTGCAGAAGTCCATGCCTCTGACTAGAATTCTAGGCATATGAGGAATATCCTTCATCAGAGAATACTGTTTTTTGTCTCTTTACTACTAAGTGTAAGAATCGCTGTCAGAATTCCTAAGTCTGTCTGAATTCCTAAGTTTCCTTTTGCATCTCTCATGAAGTATGCTGACAAGTGGAATAGAATACCATGGATGTGTTTAACTTCTGGCATTCATACTAAATATCCATGCAGTGTAAGGACTGGGTAGAATTGGATTTGATCTGTTAGATTCGTACCTAGGCTTATCGTGTAGAGTACAGTCTCAGAAGAGAACTGCCTTCTCTTCCTACGTGTGAATATTCACATATTCATATGGGATCTCTGTATAATATTAAAAAACACCAAGTCTTTGGAGTGATTGTATTCAATAAGACTTAGACCGTATGTTATTGTCAGTTAGGATAAAGAAAGTGAGCTTACAATTCATTATGTATGATGAGAAACATATTTCTTAGCTGCTTAGATTGCTTAGAGAAAGAAGTTGCTTAGATGGATGGAAGCTTTGTGTGTTTTTTTTTCTATTTTTTTCTAGAGAGCGTTTTGAAACTTGATTCTCACTTTTTCCCATTCCGTGGATTAATGCACGTGCACATGGCAATCTCTTCTTTCATAGTTACAGCAGTAAAACTGCAAAGCAGAAATTAGAGCAGTAATGTAACTGTGCCTGTATACATCTTAGCCAAAAAGTCCTGGGTATCTCAAACAGGAATGGAATAATCCTACTGGAATTGCTTTTGCAGAAATTGTGGCAAGTCTTGATTTCCCCAAGTCTTAAGGAAATAAAGACAATTATTTTTGCTGTAAGTAAGAATTTGGAGAATACAATGCAATCTCTAGGCATCAGATAAATGGGCTTTCTTTAAAATTACACCTGATGTGTGTATAGTGCATAGAAGTTTTCCTAATTGTACAAATATGCTTTGGAATGAATGAGAAGAATTGCTGGATTTTCTGTGTATGTTTCTATTTGGAATCCAACCTTTTAATGCCTGCCTGTTATTGAGCCCTTACTGAAGGTGCCTGTGTGGTCACATTATAAGATTGCTGTTTTGATAGAAATATTTCAACTTTTATTTTAGAATTAGGAATACAACACAGAGAGTAGGGAGCAATTATGTTGCTGTCCAGAATACTTCTTTTTCATTTGCAATAGTTAGCACATCTTCTTATGATATCTTCCTATGATGTTTTTTTCTTGTAACAAACTTTTTTTTTCTTTACTATCCAAGCTCTTCTGCAAAAGAGAAGAGCGTATATGTGTAGACATGTCTTAACTACATCCATATTGAGATTGAAGGGGCCTGGCTTGTTCCATTCACAGGGGAGGCTTTTAAACAAGGAAGAAACAGTTCTAACAGTTTGCTTACTGTCTGTGGTACTGCAGGAAGCTCACCAGGGGAGTCAGTCATCACCAAAGCAGAATCCAACCAGAGTGCAGAGACCCTGCTATCAGAAAAAGCTCAGTTGTTGTCTTCTCTTTCTTCACTTCAGCCCAAGATATTTGCACAATTTCAGGTATGGTCAAGTTTTTTAGAGAATGTCAGGTGTTCTTTGTTGGGAGAACTGAAGGAAGCTATAAATATGATGTTTCCTCTCAACTACTGATCCCAAACACTGGCTGTGAGGGAATGTGGACTTAGAAATAGCTCTCAAGTCCTACTTTGGCCTCTCTTATATTGCACAACTGGCATCTAGCTGTAGTGCAGGAGATTCCTCTGCTTTGTGGCCTCTTTGTGAAGGCAAAACCAAGAAGGTGTGGGAAGTGAGTTTCTGCCTCAAATCAATCACCTTAATAGTTTCACACACTTTCCAGTCATTTCATGATGACAATGCTGCAAAGTTGAGGAAGGATATGTCAATCATATTCCTTTTAAATCTTTCTCCAGCCTCGTAAGGGAAAATCTGTTAAAATCCTAAAACTGTTCCCAGATCAGAAATGTAAGACTTCCAGATTGAAAAGGTGAGGTGCAGGGCTATATATACCATGCTTAAGGAGTTTCTTCTGAAGTTCATGTTGCTCCAAACCTGTCTTTCTTAACTGTCTTTCCTAAGCTGTCCTTGTATCTCCTGAAGGTCATAATCTCTTCCGTAGAGATACAACCTGCAGTGAAATGCTCTTCTTCTTGCTGTTTGCTTCTCTTGCTGAAGGTAGCCACCTTGGCTTCACACCCCACTATCCTTTAAACCAGTATACTTAGCTTTTAGTGCATATCCCTTATGGGAATAAACATGTATTGAGGAAGGATTTGAAACTCGATATCTGTCCAAAATTAGATTTTTATGGTCCTTAGTAGTTTTCTAGATGCTGCTGGACACCACTGTCTGCTATGTTTCCTGAAACAAGTATAATCTGCAGATGCTGAAGTTGACTCTTCAAAAGAGATGATGTATAGAAGGTCAGAACCTATCCAGTTCCAGCACTGCAAAATGTGTTATTCAAATAGAAATCTCTTCTGCTTTAAATGCTATTATATTTGTACTTCTGCTTTCTCTTTTGCAGGGATTACAGATGCAATCAAACTTTACCTCCACAAATGGGTCAACAGCTCTGATAGCTGTAAATAACCATTCCCATTCCAATTCTGCAGATCTCTTGGATTCCATAGAGAGTGCAGTAACCAACCATCCTCCAGTACTTGGTCAGGGGCACAGTCTGCAAAAAGGTGCTGGCCTAGCACAGCACAGTGCTACTGCCTCTGCTTTTGAGACTTCTCCTGCCACTGATCAGAATCTGGTCACCGTGGGCCACCTGGTAACACTTGACAGGGAAGGGGACTCCAGAAGCCTAGAAGGAGGAATCCAGCAAGTTCTCTTGGGAGATGCGCAGACTATTCCAGTACAGATTGTGGAAAGCCAGCCTGCACTTCGTAAGTTGCACTCTTCCCAATACATGTACATGTAGAAAATACATTGAATTTTGTTCTGTGTGTCCTAAAACAAAGTAGATAAATGTGCTGATTAAGGGGAGCTCCAGTATAGGTTTGTTCCAGCTGATTCTAATTAATATTTACTGTAAGACCACAACAGCTGTAAAATGTATTTATGTAATTTTTGCTATAAAAATAGAGACTTAGTTGAACTACTTGCAATCACTTTCACTGACAAAATACCAGCTTGTGAAGTTGTTGTTTTGCTCCAAATCCCAACATTTAGCTAAAACGCTCATCTTCAAATTTTGTTAGGAGAAGTGAGCGTGTAAAGTAACAAATACTGAGTTTGGTTAGGAGTCTTTATAAATAATTTTTTTTCAGGTCTTTTAAATCATCATTAGGTTATTTCTGTGTGGCAGTATTGTCAAAGTTAAATGTAAGAGTTCTTCTCTTGGCTGTATTTTTTTTTGTAGCTTGTCTTCTTCCTTGTTATAATAGGATTTCACTGTTCTGATGAGAAACTTTTCCTTCTGGGTAAAGGTTATTTAAGAGAGGCTATCAAATATACCTCCTTCACTCAGTTGTTTAGCCCATTTGTGCAATCAAGATGTAGATGCCTTTCAAATAATAGTTAATATTTAATATACATTTTAAAATACTAGTTTACATACAAAAATTTAGCCAAATATAAAATTTAAATCATACAACTGGAGGAACTGCACTCGCTGTTCGTCTGGGATTTCTTTTTACTTCTGCTCCAGATCTTAAACTGTCATCACCATCTGGATTTGGAAATTGTGAGGATATCTGTGCCTTTCCTAAGTTAGGTGGAAGCCTTGCTTATAAAATACACCAATCCTCCTCTTTGCTGTTGCAGAGTCCAGATTTCTTTGTCTGAAGATTGGGAGGACACAAACAAGTCTGTATTGATGAGGAATTAATGTTACAGAGCTGATTTGGATGAAACACTCACCAGTTCAGTCAGTGATTATTTCAAGATGCTTTTTCCCCCTGTGTGTATACATGCACTTAGTTGAAGTTATTTTGAATTTTCTAGCCTTTCTCTTATCTAAAGTGGTATCTTAAGAATAAGCTATTTCCTGATGAGAATATACATGCAGTCACTGAACAGAGGCCAATTGTGCTGAAGTTTAGGTCATTTTTTAAATCAACATATTTTATTGTTTATTTGGTAAGCAACAATGTGTCTTTTTCTTTTAAATGCATACAGTTATTGGAGCTGAAGTGTTATCGGTGCTATTTGGACTTTAATGTTTTGTTTTGTTCTGTTTTAAGATGAAAATAATACAGAGGCTGGTATCTGTATGAGCCAAGTTAAACAAGAGCCAAGAGAAAAAGCGCTGTCTGTGGAGCCGGATAAAATCAGAGACTGCCAGAGATCCTCCTCTGTTTAAATCTGTGAAGGCTGTAAAGATTTTTCAAGTCAGAGGACTCTAAATGCCTTGGGAAGAAAGGCAGGTACTCTTAAAATAATGCCATTCTTTTTAAATGGTACTGTGACATTCAGACTGGGCGTATTTTAAATAGTTCTGACAGACAACTATTTTGATTTACAACTGATGTGACTCACTGCCAATTCCAAATCTGTTCACTTACCAGGTGAAACAACTCTTCTCTCTTCCATTTTATGTTTTGAATAATTTGAATGCTATCCAAATGGTCCATTTTGGTCAGCATTTCTAAAGGTCTTCCACAGTTAGTGTTAGAAAGTGGATTAAAATGCTTGATTTGCTTTTCTCCTTGAGATCACGAACTGTTACAGCGCTACGCAGTCCACAGAATCTGCCAGCTCCCAGACTCTGGATTCCAACAACAAAGTTCATGAACACAATAGTTTTGTGACAAAACAAAGGTCTAATAGACTACATTTCTACGTGGTGAAGGACATGGATGCTTAAGAAAATGCAGCTTTGACCTGATCATGTTAGTGGTGTGAGGATCAAGGAGAGAAGAAAGGTGAGGATGCCAGGTGAACTTAGTTGGATGATGAAGAAACATCTGTGAATTGTAACAATGAATGTTTTCAGCTTATGATGTCTTTAACCCTGTTCTAGCTTTGTAATCATAGAATCATTAAGGTTGGAAAAGTCCTCTAAGATCAACAAGTCCAATCATCAACTAAATCACGTACCTAAGTGCCACATCTGTGTTGCCACTTGCAGTCTTTGCAGTGGTATTGTAGCAATAGTTGGTCGTTACATCTAAAAGTAGTCTTGGTTTGTTTTTTTGTTTTAGAAAAAAAAAAAGAAAAATTGATGCTGCAGTTTCAGCTTCTCTACCTTTTGCTTTATGCACTTAAATTATATTTGTGAATCTATCTTAACTTGCTGCTGTTCATGATTGTGAGGCTTACATATACATTACTAACAGAGAGGCCCAAGAGAACAAAGCAAGTAATATAAATCCAAGCAATATGTTCTGTCGCCATAACATTCAGGAAACAAACTTGGTTTTTTTTCTGTAATAGCAGCTTCTAGGACAGAACTGGTCTGAAGTACTTAAAAGAGTTACCAGGAAGTTTAATCAAACTGAATATGGTTGAGTAGTACCTTTTGGCAACACTTAAGCCAAAGTCATAATAAGAGACAGAAATTGGATTGCGTGATCCGTGATAGATAAGTTTCTTTAATAACAACAGCAACAAAAAAAGGGAATCTATTTAAAGCAGTAAGTGAAACGAAACTGATGCCAATGTAGGTATCAAGTTAAACAGTGGCATTGGTTTTTCAGACATTGAATTTTTAGAGTAGCATCTAAAATATTCTGTGTATAGCAGTACCAGTAGTTCCTTTTGAACTGTTTAAGAAACTGATCACAGAATTAGGTATTTTTCTGCATGCTGTACAAGAATGCAGGCAGAAGACTTTCTCTTCTCCACTCTAAAAAAGCAATAAAAAAAATGTGGACTTATGCTGAGAGAAAATGTTAGGAATATTGTGTGTATATATATGAACATAAAGATTAATGTTTTGAAATTACTACATTTATTAATATGCATTCAAGGCATTCACAAACCTCATTTGAATAGTGGCCATTTAAAACTGATTTTTAACTTTCTTTTCTGTCTTTAAAGCTAAAACTTTGGAAAGTCGCTGGTTGAAATTGGGTTCCTAATACCTCTGTAAGCAGCATCTGTTAGATAGTTATGTTGTAGTCTTAACATAAACATGTATTGACTTCTGTGAGGTTAATTAACTATTGCTGTTAATACTGTTAATTTTAAGGTTAATGTTTGTGGATTAGCTTAAATCTGAACTTTCCAACAGATGATAAATACAAAGAGCCAGTGTTTCATCATGCAAGTGCATAGAGAATCTTCAGATGTTTGGAGTGTCTGATACTTGTTTCTACATGGACTTGTTTTGTGGTATGCCTTACTCATTTCTGGGTAGGTAAATCCTGTGAGATTCACCCTTGTGGTGGTGGTGGGTTTTTTTTCCTGTTAATTGTGAAAGTATGTCCAGAATGGATGTTCTCTGCTGCACTCAGCGTTCTGGAGGCAGTAGTCATCTTTTCAAATTTAGTTGTTGTATGCCAGGATGGGTACCTTATTCCACGCTGCTCAGTGATTCCACCACCATCTGTTTGTCTTAAATTAATACATTCCAAAGTATATTGCCTTTTTCCACTTCTTCCACAGAACTTTTTTCCCTTGTTATATTTATTTTCCTCTTTAAGAATCCCTTCTCATTTTTGAAAGTGCTTATTCTCAAAACAAGTTACAGCTAACCAGCAAGAGGTTATTTCAGTTTTGGTTGGTTTATTTGTTTGTTTTCAAAGGAATCAATGTGCTTGTGGCCGGTGTAAAAACTTGAGGAAAGAAGTTTTATTTCCAGTGGTTCTTGCTTTAGTTCTCTCATCAACAGATTTATTTTTTAATTGGCTTAGTTCTTCCTACTAGTAGCTACAAGCTAATCCTGTGCTGAACAATGTTTCTGAGGGTACTTCTATTTTTTGTGTAGTGTTCATAGCTTATGGAAATTTTGTAATCTGTTTCGAGTTACAGGCCATATAATTATTTTTTATAATTGATCCTGGTTTCCATGATACCTTGAAAACAACAGAAGAAAAGGTTGGGAGAAATTTGAAGATGATGTAGACTGTGCAAAAGCTGGGGGTGAAAGTGGCGATTCTGTTCCTAGGAAAATTTTGTTTGAAATGCTTCAGTCAATAGTTTCCTTCACTTTCACAGAATTCCACTTCATCTTCCACATGTGTATTCCAGTTTATTACTGAGTTGCCTTTTAAGTTTGTTTCCTGTTTGAAAGGTATGTTTACTCTTGCTTTGTGTGTGTTGCTGATGGAGATCACACGTTCAAGCATCTGTATTCACATAAACAACTTAGTTCACTAATGTCCACTTAA